ACATGTATTAGAGTCTCATATTGATTGACGATATTTACACGATCCACTTAATAACGTGAGAGCAATCTTCCCGGACAAGCCAGTTTTGCAGAGCCCATTAAACTCTAACAAGCAATTCGATCCGATTAAGACTCCAAAAGTGAGTATACGAATTTCAAGATTGATATGTTCAAAAGAGACACCATCTTGCGAGGGATGTAAAGGGATAAAATCACATATCTAATAAAGATGTAAATATAAACCAACTTATCAAGAATTGGGTTACTCCTCTTAATAATGTTGACATTTTAAGATGGAATCTCAATTCTTAACAATATATTCTTTCAAAACTCATTTTTAACCACACATTCTTCAATAAAATAATATTTTTCATCACACCATTAACTTTTTCTTACTTTTTAACCACATATTTTCCATCATATCACTATTTAAAATACATTATTTTCTCAATAATATTCATGAAATACACCCTAAATTTTGCTTGAACCTGTTTGCATTCAGTTTGACTCTTGATCTTTTGCATTTTTGGATCAATATTTGGCTAGATTTTTAAAATGTGGTCTTGTGCGAGCATATTATAAGTATCAACAAAAGAAACAAGCAACTCCAAATTAAATTAATAAATTTTATTAATTACATAACTTTTAATGCTCACTAAATAATGTTCCTTCATACTAGTACTGGAAGATTGATCACACTTTTTAATTCATTAGGGGAAAAAATATTATAATCTTTGTGTGTTTAATTTTTGATATTTGAGACAATTGTTGGATTTTTTCCATTTATTATTAAAATATGTTACGTAGAAAGCCTCTTTTCCCCCTTTCTCGAAAGGTTAAGACATACTCGATTCGATCTATTTGTCCATTTCCCTATAAATTATGTGTCTATAATGAGAAGGATAAAAATTTTTCCATTCTAATCGAGTAAAATGGCAAAATACCTTACAATAATATTCTTGTAAGGGTGCGTTTGATTGCAAAGGTGAAAAATGAGTGGAAAGAAAATATTTTACAGGAAAAAGATTTGTTTATAAAATGTTTTGTAGGGAAAATAATGGGTGGAATGAAAATGTTTTACAGGGAAAAGATGTGCCTAGAAAATGTTTTGCAGGGAAAATGATTTCAAGTGTGTTTGATTTGTATAATTTTCCACTCGAAAAATTTTTAAATTTTCTATTCGTTTGGCTTTATTTTATATGGAAAATGTTTGTTAAAGTGATAATTTTTTTCACATTCGGTTATAAAATTTGTTTCCATTGCCAAAAAGTTAAAAAAAAAATTGTTTCCTAAAAAATCATTTTTTTTTATCAAAGTTTAGTATTCGTTTGACTTAGTTTTACATGAAAATTATCCATTAAAGTGAAATTTTTTTTTATCATTGGTTATAACATTTATTTCCATTGCAAAAAAAAAAAAGATTTCTTTTTCCAGCCAGCCTGAAATTTTTTTTTCCCACTTTTCCTAATTCCCTGAAAAATTTGGCGTATCAAACAGGGCCTAAGTTGACTAATAATTTCGGGAATATATAACATACGTTATTCTCAAATCTCCGAAACGTAATGAGTCAATCTTTTTTTAAAGGAAGAATCACATCACTAAGTGTATATTTGGCACGCTGTATTAAATCGAACAAGAATTAAAAATTTAGTTTTTATCTAATATATGGTGCAATTAGTAATCGGATTAAATTAATCCGGGGCACTTATCCTCATTTAGTCAACAATATAAATAAATAATTAATACCTTATATGAGGTGGGGTTATACTGTATAATTTATTCTCCATTTTATGAATTAATAAAAAAATTAATTGAATTGGAATACATGAATCTACTCACAAGTAAATAAGAACTAAATTTCACTTACAAGTAAAAAAATAACTTATAATAAAAAATTGCTTATATGCAAAAAATTAGTTATATGTAAAAAATTTAAAAGAAATTAACTTTTAAGTAAAAACGCAACCTATGTTTGGTTGGTGTTTATAAACTATTTATAAATACTCAAATTACTTTTTATCTACATATTTAGAGATACTCACTTTCGCACTCATTTATATCAATATATAATTTAACTATTTATAAATCCTTCCCAAACATAAAATAAATTTTTATTTATAATTCAGAATTTACATATAAGTAAAATAATTACTTAAGTGTAAAAGTTCACTTCTAAGTAAAAAAATTCTTATGAGTTAAAAAAAATAAGTAAAAATCACTTGCAACTAAAATAAAGTGACATACTGAAAAAGTCACTTATAAGAAAAATACACTAATAACTAAAAATTTACTTATAAGTAATAAAATCACCAAGAGTCCGTTTGATTGTAAGAATGCAATTTGAGTGGAAAGAAAATGAATTCTATGGAATTGAATTGCTCAGAACTTATTTTACTGAGAATTGTCAGTTAATTGTGTTTGATTGATATAATTTTCCACCTGAAAAATGGTGAAATTTTGGATCTTTAGGTGTTCGTCTGATTTTATTTTTCATGAAAATTGTCCATTAAAGGGATATAATTTGTTACAATTGGTGATGTAATTTGTTTCCATTGCCAAAAAAAATAAATAAAAAAGCAGCATAGAAAACCTATTTCCACCAAAGTGGTGGGAATTGATTTACTCAAAAAGCAAGAAAATGTGACAAACCAAGAAAATGTGGAAAATCAATTACCTGAACAATATTTCCGATCAAACATTCTAAAAAGTGGAAAATAACAAAAAGTTTTCCATTTTCCATGGAAAACTTGCTCTATCAAACATGACATAATTATTAAATTTACGTATATGTAAGAAAGAATATTTATAAATAAAAAATATTGTAATAAATGTTATTTTCAATAGCTCGTATGTTTTTCTAATATGGTGTAACACCAAATTCGTATTAGAATAATATATTCTAATCCACCTTAATTGAGTCCTTTGTAATCCCAATCCTCTTAATCTTATCCTCTAGTCTTATAGATGTTCCCTAAATGTTTTTGAGTGATATATGTAGGCCACCAACACCTTTTAAGTAATCGTTACATCTCTTTGATAACACAATGACCCACTAAATGGAGCGAAGCAAAAAAATCTCATAAATATTAATAGACGTACGACAAGGTCAAGTATAGACACTCCACTTGACAATGTAGTCGAGGCTAACTCGTGTGCCATGTTTAGAACTAAGAGATAAGGAGTACTACTATTTGCACTAGTCAACCATTTTGTTCTAATTGAGTTTGATTGAGGACCATGTTGCACTTATAGGCTACATGAAGAGGTGCCGTAACAGTAATGATGTCAAGGAAACATGCACCCCCTCCCTACAAAACCATCCCATTACCATGTCAACAAAGTTAAAGCTTATATGAAGGAGAGTGACTGTGACTCCAAAATTATTTCGTATGGATCAAATCTCCAACATTTCTCAACTACCGTATTTCATAGCTTCGATTCTCTCAGTATTTAACCAGGATGGCCGATGGCAGAGAGAAAACATGAAAACGTCCATTGTTTCAAGCATCGGAGCATGCTATTCCAATCGTGTAAGGAAGAGGAAAAACCTCATAAGCATCATAGTTCTTAGAGCAACCTATTTTCATTGCGATAAGAGTTTGTACACACAAGTAGGAGTGAGATTGATTGTGTATAAACCCTTCAATACTTAGACCCTGTACCAAAATTTTTTAAACTCATTTTTCTCCGAACCCATTTTCAATCACATAATTTCCCAAAAGAAAAAATGATTTTACACGTGGATTATAATTTAATCCTACTTTTAACCACACATTCTCGAGAAAAATCAGTTTTTCACGAAATCTGATCTAAAATAATCTTCACCAAACAAAGGACTTAATTGAAAATGGAATAATATGAAATTATATTCAAATAATATGAATAGGATTGTATAAATTATGTTGAGTTGGTGGGTGTCACTTGGATAAAAAATGATCTGGTTGTACTAAATGCTTAATAAATAAAAATGGAAACAAAGGAACACTTTATGTTGCTTCTTTCTTTTAATAAAAATACCAGAATAAAATAATTATATTACAACTCAAAAGTAAAGCATCTAGACATAAAATAATTAAGCTGCAACTCAAAAGTAAAGCTTCTAGACATAGTATATGTGTTTTTCTTACCGGTTTACACATGATCTCAAAACATTTTTTTTTTTTTTTAACCGCACAATTTTATTTCGCTTTAAATTTTTAGACCTCTGCCCAAGTCGAGAAAACAAAACTCAACTAAAAAGTTGAACCAGTGAGGATCGCATGATGAATTCACAAAAAATGTACGGTTTTCATTGCTAAAGGCTGATTATGCAACTATATATATGTATGTATGTATGTACGTAAAAATAAAATTGTTTGTGGTGAATGTGCGCCTTAACTTTAAAATATGTGGATCAACTTGCTAGCTAGACAATAGTGCAATTCTCTCCTGCAAAACTTACCAACATAAAAAACGAGCCCAGTTAAATTTACAAAAGACACCCTGTATTTAGGTTGTATTTACGATTTGCATATCGTATTTTAAAAATTTACATTTTGCATATTATATTTTTCTTATTTGTTCACACCCCATATATTAATTTATTATTCTTAAAAAATTAATTACTAGAAGTTTATGATGGTTTATTAAATGTTTTCTCTTTAAAAGATGATATTTTTCCTGTGAAGTTTACTAAATTTATCATCTTCATTTTATGTAAACTACAAGTAATCGAAAAATAGAAAATAAATTGTCATGAATTAACAATGTGTTGGAAAAATAGCAAAAACTTAATTTAAAATTAAATGATTAGTTGTTCATCATTTAATAAGTAAAAAATATATTTTGCATCTCGAAAATGAATTTCGAATATGCTACTTGTGCATAATTTTATATATATAATGGTGTCCACATCCAGGGGATCCACGTACGCATAGACAAATCCTTTATTATTTACTTGTAACTTTGTACCATTTTGTAATTTAACAAAATTTCAAGATTCAATCGTCAAAGGCGTCAAGTATGCTAATTTCCCTCGGCAGCCGAGCTTTCACTCTCCCGTCAACACTCTCTTTTGGAACATTCATCAAACACCTTCCAACTCCAAGACCATCATCTCTTCAATTCAACCCAATTTCAATCCATAAAGCCACCCGCGCACTCTCCTCTGCCGGAGGTGGCGTTCACAGTACACATTTCGAAGCCTTAACCTCGAAACAAAAACATCAAATTCATGTCTACATTGACTCCCTTCTCCAATGGAATCAGGTAACACGCTACCTTTTCATGTGTTCAATTTGCATTGAACTTGAGTTATGCTATTTTTTTTAAAATTTTTCTGTGTTGGGTGCTTTAGAAGATGAATCTTACTGCGGTGAAAGAAGAAAATGAGGTGATGGAAAGGCACGTGGAGGATTCTTTGGCAATTATTGATCCTATTCGTAGCTCATATCTTTCTCATTGTGGAGAGTCTTTAGAAAATATGAGTGTTGTTGATGTCGGAAGTGGAGCAGGGCTTCCTGGATTAATCCTGGCCATTGCATGCCCCGGTAATTGTATTAACTTTTGTAATGTCTTATGTCTTTAAGTTATTTGTTCGAATACTAATTGTCAATGCACCGTCATATGCAAATGTAAAAATACTATAAAAGTGTTCTCTCTTGCCTCGAAATTATAGGTTGGAAGGTGACATTATTGGAATCTATGAATAAGCGATGTGTCTTCTTGGAGAATGTGGTTGGTCTCATTGGCTTGCCAAATGTTCAAGTTGTAAGAGACCGCGCTGAGGTATCTTTTCACCGGAACATGAAATATGTATTTTTTTTCTCATCCAGTTTATGCTTTGCCAGTTCTTAAGATAGTTGGCATGGATGATCAGCTTGTTTAATGCTGGAATTCAAAGTAGATATGTGCCAGAGTTAACATAGGGGCTTGACACTAGGGTTGGTATATATTGATGGAGGCACGGGAACTGATGTTTAGTACGTTCTTAGCTCTCATAAGTTTTGGAATCGGAGTTAAGTAGTCTTTTCACCTGTATAATTTTTTCCAATATAAATGAATACTTAGGTGGCGTATTGTGTAAAATATATGCCAGGCAGAGAGCATTCTTATTACAGTCATATAGTTGCAAAATATCTTAAAGTTCATAAGTGGTTTATGTCCTTTTAGTTGAAATATCAGATCTCTAGATGTGCACGAGTGATGGTTTTTTATCAAACAGTTGTGATAGGAACCCAACTATCTGAAAATAGCAACTGAGAATTTGTATTGAAACTGAATGAAGAATTAACAGCAAGTTCCAAGGCTATTTGAGAGGCCTGGTCTCTCCCCCTTTCCCTAACAGATTTATGAACAAAATTCGATGCTTTCCCCACCCCCTTTCCCTCCATATTTATTCACATACCCTATTCTAGCGTTATTACATTTTTACCCCTCCCATCTAACTGACTATTGAAGACTTGGCCCCCCTTTCTTCCTCCTTGCATATGTGAACCTGATTGGGGGTCTATCATTACCCGTCGCCCCGAAATCCACCTTGTCCTCAAGGTGGAAACTTGGAAACTGCAGCCGAACAGTCTCAAATGGCTCCCAGGTGGCCTCGAACTCTGGTAAATCCTTCCATTTAATCAAGATGTCAGGACCTCCGGCCCCAGTGTTAGGATGTGGACGAATCCCCAAAACAGCCTCAGGTTCTAGAACAAATTCGCCATCTGCTGAAAGTTGCAGTGGAAGGGATGAGACTGGTTGAAGGTTGCCAATGGCGTTACGGAGCTGTGAAACATGGAAAACCGGATGGATAGCTGCTGAAGGTGGAAGTTTCAACTGGTATGCCACCTGCCCCACTCTTGCTTCGACTTCAAACGGTCCATAGTACCTCGGGGACAGTTTTTCAAAGGGTCATTTAGCCATTGACTTCTGGCGGTATGGGCGGAGTTTGAGATACACTAAGTCACCTACCTCAAACTGAATGTCCCAGCGATGCCCATCCGCTAACTCCTTCATCCGCAATTGTGCACGAGAGAGCTGTACCTTTAGCTGCTGTAAGGCTTCATCCCTGTCCCTCAAACGCTGCTCGACCGAGGAGTTGGCAATCATTCCCTTTTCAACTGCAAGAAGCTGGGGTGGCTCTCGGCCATACACAACTTGAAAAGAGGTTAGTTGGGTAGCGGTATGGAAGGAGGTGTTATACCAATACTCGGCCCAATGGAGATACTGATTCCACACTCGAGGTCTGCTCGACGTATAGCAACGCAGATATGTTTCCAAACATCAGTTAACAACCTCCGTTTGGCCATCGGTTTGGGGGTGATAGGCCGTACTATGTTGAAGGGTGGTACCTTGAGCTTTGAATAAGGCTGTCCAGAACGAACTCATGAAAATTCTGTCTCTATCGGAAATAATGGAGTGAGGCATGCCATGAAGCCCACTTCTCTAATAAAGACCTCAGCCACGGTTGGGGCTGTAAAGGGGTGCTTCAACCCAATAAAGTGTCCATACTTACTTAAACGATCCACCACCACCAAAATGGTGTCCACCCCACCGGACCGCGGCAGCCCCTCAATGAAACCCATTGAAATATCTTCCCAAATTAAATCTGGTATCGGCAAGGGTTGTAATAGGCCTTTCGAGGACAATGCAACATATTTATTTTGCTGACAGACAGCACATTCCTCCACATATTTCTTAACCCTTTGTTTCATACCTTGCTAAAAAACTTCACTAGCCACCTGCTTGTAAGTCTTAAGGAACCTAGAGTATCCCCCAACCTTTGCATCATGGGACTCTCGCAAAATTAGAACCACAAAAGGTGAACGGCTGGGCAGCACAACGTTTCCCTGGTAACACAAGGTGCTGCCAGCCAGTGCATATCCCTCCCTAACGACGAGTCCCTCTTTCAAATCTCGCACCACCTTTCCCAACACTTTGTCTGCTTCCACTTCCTTCCTGATCTCTTCTAGTTGCAAGATCTTAGGAGTAGTGATGACTAAGCAGTTTACCGCCGGCTGAAGTCGGGAAAGGGCATCCGCAGCCTTGTTCTCCAACCCTGGTCGGTATTGAATGTCAAAGTGGTATCCCATCAATTTTGTAAGTCATTTCTGGTGATCTTCACCAACTAAACACTGCTCTAACAGGAACTTCAAACTCCGCTGATATGTCCTCACCACAAAGTGTCTACCCAACAAGTAGTGTCGCCACTTCTGGACAGCAAAGACTACAGCCATCAGCTCCCTCTCGTACACCGACTTCTACCTGACCCCCTGCGGCAAAACTCTGCTGTAGAAGGCTATAGGATGACCCTCCTGCATTAGGACTGCTCCCAACCCCTGACCCGATGCATCTGTTTTGACCAGAAACTGTTTAGAAAAGTCATTTGAATCCATCTTTCTTAAGTTACTCCGTCAGTGGCCAAGCGACCTTGGCATAACCAGACACGAAAAGTCAATAGTATCCAGTGAGTCCTAAAAATCCGCGAAGTTCCCTGAGATTGCGTGGACTTGGCCACTTGACCATGGCTCCAATCTTTGAATGATCGGCTGCCACCCCCTTCTCGGAAATCACATGACCCAGGTACTCCACCTCTGCTTGCCCAAATAAGCACTTCTTATCATTAGCAAAAAGCTGATGCTTACGCAAAACCTGCAGGACAATATCCAAATGCTGTAAGTGCTCCTCCTCCGAGTAACTGTAGACTAGAATGTTGTAAAAAAAAACCAGAACGAACCGCCGCAAGTAGGGTCTGAATATCTCATTCATCAGATGCTGAAAGTGGCTGGAGCATTCGTGAGCCGGAAGGGCATGACCAAAAATTCATAATGGCCCTCATGAGTCCGAAAGGCTGTCTTTGGAATGTCTTCAGGACTGACTCTGATATGATGGTAACCGAACTTTAAGTCCAATTTTGAAAATACCCTGGCTCCATTTAACTCATCAGTAGTTCATCAATTATCGGAATCGGAAAGTGGTCCGGCACTGTAACCTTGTTGTGCGCCCGATAATCGACGCAAAATCTCCAACTACCATCTTTTTTCTTCACCAACAACACCGGGCTCGAAAATGGGCTTTAACTGGGTTGGACGATCCCCGCGGTGAGCATATCCTTGACAAGTTTCTCTATCTTATTCTTCTGGACATACGGGTATCGGTAGAGCCTTACATTCATTGGGGATGCTCCCGGTTGCAAGAGGATAGAATGATCCCGTGCCCTCGGGGGCGGAAGCTCATTTGGCCACTCAAAGACACTGTTATGACTTTGCAGTAACGCTTTAATTGGGTTAGGTACTTCACCACTTAGGGCAACCGGTTCCATCCCCAAACTCAGTAAAACTCCCTGTTCCCCTTCCTGGAACGACTTAACCAGAGATTTCAGCGACACTTGCATCTTGTCCAGACTGGGGTCACCTTGTAGCACAACATTTTCCCCAGCAATCTTGAAACGCATTGACAACGTTCCCCAGTTCACCTGTATCCTCCCCAGAGTTTCTAACCACTTCATCCCGAGGATTACATCTGTACATCCCAGTTTTAGAGGCAAAAAGTCTTCAACCACCTCAATGCCCGACAAGGAAATTGCTACACCTTTGCAAACACCTCCCCCATTAACTGAAATCCCATTACCCATGATGACCCCGTAACTGGCTGAACCTGTGACCCGCAATCCTAACTTCTGGACAAGTTCACTGGAGATGAAATTGTGGGTAGCTCCACAATCGATCAGTACAATAACCGACTCTCCAAGTATTACCCCCCGCAGCTTCATCGTTTTTGGTGCCGTCAACCCTACTACTGATTGAATGGACAACTCCACAATTTCCTCGATCGCCTGCTCTTCTTCCTCCCCCATCCCTTCCATAGGTTCCATGAGTTCATCTTCTTGCACCAGCAGTACCTGAAGCTCCTTATTTTTGCATCGGTGGCTAGGAGCGAACCTTTCATCACAGCGAAAACAGAGTCCCTTTTCCTTCTTCATCTGTAACTCGTCGTCGGTCAACCTCTTGAAGGGTGGTAGAGCTTTATCACCCCTTACCGGCAGCGGGTGGCGACGAGATAAGGCTTGGCCATCACCGTTTGGCTTTGTTGTCCGAATCCCCTTTTGGAAATAAGGCTGTATATCTTAGGTTGTTAGCAACTGGGCTAGAATAGGGCCCATGAGAGTTACTGGATTTAGCCCTGAATGGGCTTACTGAAACTTGGGCCTGTTTTAAGGACTCATTACGGTCTTCTACCCGTTGGGCCAATTCCATGATTTGGCCCAACCTTTGGGGCCTCATCAACCTCACTTTGACCCGGATATCTGGTTTAAACCCATTTATAAAGTTCTCCTCCAACACTCTCAAACCAACGGTGATAATCCCTCACCGTTCCCTCCTGCTTCAACGCAGTTTTTCCAGTACACTGCCCTCTTGTGAAGGTCGAAACCTTTGCAGCAACAAGGTTTTTAGATCCTCCCACCTGGTTAGCAGTTGTCGCCCGTTTTCCCATTGGTGCCAGGCTAGCGCCTCGCCTTCGAAACAGACTGCTGAGGCTTCGATTTTCTCCCAGTTCGTAAACTGGTTGATAGTGAAGTATCTTTCTGCCCGGAACAGCCACGCGTCAGGCGCTTCACCATTGAATATCGGCATCTCCAATTGGCGATCTCGCCGGTCTATCCTTCTTGCTTCATCACGGTGAGATCGTTCGCCAGCGTGTCCTCCCAACTCCTGTGGTCTGATCGGAATTTCAGAGCTCACAGTTGGCTCCGGCGAAATTGAGGAATTCCCTTTTTCTTTCCTATCCCACTCCTGCTCTCCCAATTTTGTCACCACTAAATCAAATTTCTCTATCAACCCGGCAATATCTCTCTGGATCTCCGTTTTCATTACCCCCATCTCCTCTTGTATCCCATCGAACCTCAACTCCAGCTGTCCCACTCGATCGGCAATTGTCATACCCAGAATCTCAACTGCTCTGATACCAATTTGATAGGAATCCAACTTTCTGAAAATAGCAACTGAGAATTTGTATTGAAACTGAATGGAGAATTAACAGCAAGTTCCAAGGCTATTTGAGAGGCCTGGTCTCTCCCCCTTTCCCTAACAGAATTTTGAACAAAATTCGATGCTTGCCCCACCCCCTTTCCCTCCATATTTATTCACATACCCTATTCTAGCGTTATTACATTTTTACCCCTCCCATCTAATTGACTATTGATGACTTGGCACCCCCTTCTTCCTCCTTGCATATGTGAACCCGATTGGGGGTCTATCAAGTTGCTTGCTCAACATAATGCTATTTCTCTATTTCTTACTATCTGTAATACATTCCAGTCTTTTGTGAAATGAATTGTTATTGGTTTATACCTGAAATTCTTCTATTGGATTTTTACTTGTAATATATTTTGAATGTTTTACTCATTTCATCCAACAAATTATACGGGCACACACATATCTGAATAGGACAGTGTTTAGGACAAGTAGATGCCTTCAGAGAGAGCTTTGATGTTGCAGTTGCTAGAGCAGTTGCAGAAATGAGAATTCTAGGTAAACACAAGTTATTACTTCTTTCATGATCTAATGTGTGCGTAATCTCTGTAAATTTGAGCATCATATAACTCCTTGAGCATTTGGTTCTTCTTTGGTATGCAGCTGAGTACTGTCTTCCCCTAGTCCGTGTGGGTGGTTTGTTTGTTGCTGCTAAAGGCCATGATCCCCAGGTTTATTACAATCAATGGAATTTCTATAGATTATCAATTGCATGAGTAGATACTCAGTTGTATTTGTTTTCTTTCTTCAACTATTTCGCACATATTTGTGTATTTGGGTGGCAAATGTTTGTTTTCACATGGTTATGTGTGAGCATACATATATGTTGGATTTGTGTCTGTGTATAGATGTATACATATAGGGGTGTATATGTAGGTGTATCTTGCAGATATTTCGGATAATAAATTTCTCTTTAAACAATGTTCTAGGAGGAAGTTGCAAGAGCTGAAAGAGCTATCCGTTTGATGGGTGCTTCTCTTTTGCAAACGTGTTCTGGTATGTTGCTATCGATCTAATTTTTGGATTATTTATCTTGAATGCGACCAGTAATAAACTAAAATATCAGCAGTGGGAATTTGTTTGATGTTTCACAAGTTCCCTACTGTTTTATCTTGAATTACCCATATTTGATGTTCAGAAATGAATTTTTTTCTCACTTATTTGTTGATATCAGAATTAACACAAGTAGGTAGACAAACTTCTTACCATTCTGAAAGTGTGATCTCTCCCTGGAATCTCATGATAGCCAAAGGAAATCTAAGGCACTTTTAGCGAGCTTCATTTTGATATGACTGCACTTTATATTTGTTCATTAAAATGTATTAAATGCACTAAGTCACAGTTAGGTTCCTACAGCTAGAGACTTAGTTGGCACCTCAATCTACCTGACTCATTCATATGTAAACAAAGCCTGCACTGCTGAAGTAACCTGTGTAATTAATTGTTTCCTGTTGTTTTAATCCCAGTGGAATCACACAGCAAATATGGGCAAAGAACAGCAGTTATATGTCTAAAAGATGGTTCCACCCCGAAGAAATATCCTCGTGCTTCAGGTACTCCATCAAAATTACCGCTGTAAAATAGATTCTCAATTAATCTACTTTTGTAAGTTTTAGTTTTTTTTCCTTGTCTATTGTCATCAGCTTTATGTATGTACAACTCGAATCTGCCCCTGTAATTTGAGTCGAAAACAAACAGTGTAATTGATAAGCTAATAGCTTTGTCCTTTAGCTGCTCTACTTTTTCCCAATTCTCCCTCTTCTCCCACTCCCTCAATCATTTTCATGCGCAGATACAGCATACACAAGTTTTATTCTTTTTGTTTAAAGAGTGGATGGATTGGATGAATTAATTAGACTCAATCTGGAGGTCATGATATTTCTCCTTGCAGGGTAGTACGGATATCTAACTCTTCCCTCTACAAACCTGAGTGGTGGTTGGGCCAAATAATTTAATTACTTCTTACTGAAAAACAATGTCGCCTCGTATAAAGTGTTTTGAAATATTTACATATCTTTATATCACAATAAAAATCAAAAAATAGGTATGCGTTTCATTTTCTCAATCTTGGATATGTTTATTTTGCAACATATTTTGGTTCCATTTTCTTGGATATGGAAGCTTGAGATTCAAAACTATAATAGACTATCAAGCTTGATTGAATAATATCGTTTCTTATGTGGTTTCATCCCAAGTCCGTCAAGCATTATTTGTGACCATTGATTTCGTAATTCTGTAATAATTGGAGCGATTTGAAGTTTTTCTCTATAATCTTAAATAACTTACATGTAAATCTAAATCTTAAATCCTTTTGTTATCCAATCCGTAAATTTGGAGTCATTGATTCAACGGTCATCATACTTCTTTCACTCTTAATGTGATTGTCTATAAGCCCATCTCTGATTAGGTCCATTACCCGTTTATACTTTTTCAGCTGGGACAACTTCTTATTGTTAGAAGTTTTGCATCATGGAGTGTACAACTTGCAAGGCTTACGTCCTTTTCACCAAAAAATAATGCATTATTGAAAACTACTTTAGGAAGTAGGTTTCTGGTTGTGCTGAATTATATTTTTTTTCTCTACTGGAAATGACTTGTCTCCTTTAACTTATTATGATAACCAGTAGGCTTCCTGACAGTAGAGTGACGTGACATTTAATACTTGATTATTTTTTGGTCTTCTTTTATCTACTTTACTATTACTATTATTGATTTTCAGAAAACAGCTCTACATATAGTACTGGATTTTCAAATTGTGCAATAATTGGCGAACTTATGTTTTCTTTCAGAAAATTTCAGGGAAAAGTCGTTCGTATTCTTTTAATATATTATGAAAGTTTATTGTTATAGTTGCCTTTTGTTTCAAAAGTCTCACCTATATTACCATCTTTGCCTTTTGTTTCAAGTTTTTAGTGCTATTTACGCATATAGTTGTAATTGCATGAAGATTAGTCGAGAGAAGGATTTTTTTTTTTTTTAAAATAGAACTCGAGTGAACTTTCCCGTACAAGTTACGAATATAGACGAACAAAATTTTGTAATGATGGAAAAGCTGCAAGCACATTAAGAAGAAGGGAAGGGTTCACTTGATATCGAATGACGTAAGATTTCAACCTGAGTCTCGTCACAGAGGCCTCTTTTATAAGAATATATAGAACTACAAAAATAGAATGATAAATCTATATGTACATAATTATTGTACATAATGGATTACATAGACCCATGTGGAAGAAATTCGGCCCTGGATGTGAAGTGTGGAAAAGTAAAAAATTGTAGACTACTGATAGATGCGCGCCACATGTCAATTATGTAATGTATTATGTAAATGATTATGTACTTGTTGCATGGTCCAAAATAGAACGTGGGATTTGAATGTGTTAGAAGAGGGGTAGAAGATTAATCTGCCAAACTTTAATGTCACAGTCCAGGCCAGCACTGTATAGGAGATAGTTTGGTTTTGTATCTGATGGATTGGAATAATCTAATGCTACAGTGATGCACTTCACCGGTCCTCTATGTCCTTCCAAAATGGCCAAGCAAGAGTAGGATTTCCCAATCCCTCTCCAAATTCTCACAGTTTTATCTGCTGAACCACTGCACACCAGTTCTGATATAGTGGCCAAACACAATACGGATTCGGTGTGTCCCTGGAGCATCCCCACTGCCACCATGCCTCTGCCACTGCCGCAATCCACCTTCATCCAAACCACTATAGACCGATCACGTGCTCCGGAATACATCGTCAAGCCGTCTCTGCTTAGTGCCACTGCATTAACCCCAGAATTGTGCTTCTCCAGGGTAGCAACTAAGACATGCTTCTTTTTTTCAGAGCTTTGCTTCCATACTTTAATTTTCTTGTCAGATGATCCTGTGTAAACATGTCCATCGCTGGCTAACGCGATGGCATTTATTGCATCATCATGTGCATTGGCAACTGATTCCAAGCATTTGAAATCGGTTGTCCTCCATATCTTGAGAGTCCGGTCCCAAGAAACCGAATAGAGTAAGGATTCATCATTTGACAAGGCCAGTGCTGATACTGTGTCAACATGATGAACCCACGTGCATTTCTTGTGGCGTCGAACTTGAACATGGTTCTTTGGTACCAACAGTTTGAGAGCTCGGTCACTGAACATTGGAAGCGTGGCCAACTGTGTAAACTTCTGCTCATCGTTATCCAGGTTATCGATTTTCCATACTCGAATTTTGTGATCTTGATGAGCACTAATGATTTTATCGGCTAAAACCACAAGAGCCTTCACTGCACCCTTTCCTGCCACAACCATATTTTTATTAGTGAAACTTCCGTAGTCGTTCATGGGCCTCAACGTGTTGCATTTCCATAACCGGATTTCCTTATTGGAAGAGCCACTCAATAGAAATTTTCCCAAAAGAACGAGAGATGTAGTGTAGGAGTTCTGCCCCTCGAGAGTGGCTAAGCACTGGTGGTGTGCATTGACAAGGTAGTGTTGGGGTGGTGTCGACGGTGGCTGCAAATCATTGCTTGCACTACAAGTTTGATCATATGGCCTCATTTTCTTTGAGAAAAAAACATGGAGGGGAGATGGATATATATAGACATAAAGGAGCTAGCAAAGGGAGTTCATAGTTTGATATGTGGGAATGGTAGATAATCCCAGCTTTAGGCTCAATATTGGGGTGTATGGGTGGGGTGGGGATGTCATGTTACTTGTTCCACTTGTCATCAAAATTTCATTCTAATCAAGTTTGTTCAGTTCACTCATATTATTCATACTTTCAAAAGGGTTTCATCCACGTGACTTTGTTTCGTGTCTTGAACAATATACTCGACTCTAAAGGAATAAAAAGAAACTAAAATTTTGTTCGTTTGTGTTGTACACACTAGTTCTGTGAACAAGTCCATGAAATGTATTAACTTTTGTATATGTTAACAATAGAAATTTCAATTTTTATTTCTAATTAATTGGGACCCTTGGAATTGAAAAATATGAATTACAAATTATTTGTATACTTTCCACTTCTGGTAGTAGAGATTATTATGATGTCTTTCAATGGTTGCATAAAAAAAGGGTAGACATTATTCATCTCTACATCTGCCTTTGTTGGTACGTTGTCGTTTGTGTCCTCCTAAATGCCCCTGAATAGTGAAAGAATTGGGTGTACCTTACTAGCTTAATAGCCTCTATAACTAGTTCTCGTGAATATACGAGCAACATGTCCAGTACCAATAAATTTGAGGTCGACTATGTCAATCGTTGTTTTGTGCTGGAGAAATATAGATAGAATTATAGTCGAAATTGAATTTTTCGAGGGGAATGAATATCTCAGTTGATCATGCAATAGTTGGAACAATAATTTAGAATTAGTGGAGCTTTTGAATTCATTTGAGCTGTTGAGATTGGGAGTGGAAGACAAAACAATAATGCTTTTCTGTGTGTGTATTGAACTAATATTTTGTATAATAGTTAATAATGTTGCACCTTTCTAAGGCTATATACATAGTAAATTGTTCGTTATGCCAAGTGGGGTTTAAAAGTTTGTTAAATCGTCATGTTGCTTTGTGACAAATATCTTTCGCTTTCGAATTTTTGGGTACCGACACAAGTCGGGAAATAAAATCTAATTTCATAAAGTTACATATGTGAGAGTTGTGTGATGATTTAACAAAGATTTAGATGTTAGCATTGTGTATCTTTGAAATATATGCATCTAAAGTTAACTTTTTTCTTCATACCAAATCAAGCTTAACATCATCTGTAATTTTTTTGCAATGCATATACCACATATCTTATATATTTCTACATTATGTAAAAATTAATTACTTAAAATTTACGATGCTGTAAAGACTCATTTTTGAGAAACGGCAGTAAAACAAACTACTATTTAAATCATGATCATCCAAAATAGACATTTTCAATACCTCTTGAATAATCTCCTTTGACATTCAACCATTCCATTATCGTTTCATTTTTATTAGAATAATTCAAGAAGTACTTGACGTTCATCGCACCTTTTATGCTTTATAGTGTTCGCTAAAAATAGATTTATGTAATTTATCGATAAATTAAGAATCTTCTAAAACAATAATTTTTCTCGATCTAAATAATATTTAGGATATTCATTGTAATTTATGTAATTTCCGGTTGAATAAATGAACAGTATTTGGGCTATTCATTTTGCAAAAACTGCTCGAATGTACTGTTAATCCATGACAAAGAACCGATCCTACAGTTGACAATAAGCATCCTATGAAAAGCCGAAACGTGATTATATTAAAGAAATCAAATCATATTGAAGAAAACTAATGGTATGAACCTCGAATTAAATGTACATTGATTCTGAAATAACGAAAAACAGCTAGGATGACAGTATGTAACCTGTAAACAGAATACCAACTTTGAGATCCAGCCCTAAATATTAGAGATGATCGCTTCCTACGAGGATATCCTGCTCGACTCTGTGCAATGAGAATATGCATTCGAGATTAGATCATTAAGTATACATCAATGCTCCTGTAAACCACCAAATTATTAGGACATTAGTTGTATTGGCTTCTTCCCCGCAACTTCAGAGTACCACGATTTCCATGCTTCGACGTAGTGTGAGAAAAGATCCCGCAAAGCTGTAATATCATAAACAAAATGCAACTCTATTAGCAGTAACCTTTGCAGCATATTCAAGGAAAGATCGAAGTAATGTTGTAAAAGCCTTTGTCAATGTTTTTGTGGTTAGTTGCTTGTTCAGGCAATAAGACAACCCGATGACCTTATGCACAATGCTTAAACTGATTACTGTAATAGCAAATAAAAATCGACTAGCTTAGTGAAGGGCAGTGAAGCAGATAAAGAAATTAAAGATCCATGCATTGTAAACAGTTGAAACTCTTAATTATTGGTAATTAATTAAAATTAGAAAAGTAATGAGACTGGTTAATGCTGAACGAATCCATAGATCATATGGAGCTTCTTTTTTAAATAAGTTGTGTAGAGTCATTATCTATTTAAGAAAGGAAGTGTCCATTTTTTTGACTGAAAAGGCAGTCTGTTGTAAGAAGCGAAAGCATAGCAGCATGAAGATATTATATGATTGTCCAAGTTATTGTTATATCAGTGCGAGTGCAACATCTAGAATGGCTGTCATTTGATTAGCAGTAACATTACTTATTGAAATTTATTCTATGCAGAAGTAAAAGATACCTTGATTATGATACTGAGGCCGATAAGTAGAGGCTAAACTTTCCCAATCAATAACTTGTTTTGGTTTGCTGTTACCTGAAGCTTCAACCTTGGGCACATTTACAGGTGCAAAAGGACCAAACTGAAAACTCTTTGCACTTGATCTTGATGTGTCGACCTCATTATCTGAACTTTGTTGTTTAACTTCCTTTTGCGGTTGCAGCTGCAGCTCAGTATTGCCATCCACCTTACACCTCTTTAACGAGGAATTTGTAAGGTCAGTCCCAAATACCCTTTTCTTGGACTCGTTAGAAGGTCCATTTTCTTGTAGCCCCAACCATCTGAAAGCAGGTTTCCTTGTTTCCGGGTGATGAATCTGCACATATCCTAGACACGTTTTAGTACTTTTTTAGATGCCTTATCAGTTTATATTTTCATATTTTATCACCCCCTGCATAAATGTTGGTATAGTTAACTTAGTACTCCAGGATGTTAATTGCAGCAGATTTAGCAGAAGAGTTAACAAGATGGATCACCTTTTCAATAAATTTCATGGATGACAGGACATTGGCAATGTCATACAGCCTTCTAACTTTTGCTGCATAATTATAGAAAAATACTGTTAGTCAAAAGGTTCCCTGATTATCTATTATTTATTATATTAGTAAGATCATTGCAAAGAAAATGAAAGGTAAATTACTTCTAGTAGTCATTGAAGTGTGCTTTCCGTCCCCAAGCAACAGCTTTGCCGCATCGTCAAGAGAAATCAATTCCATCTAGAGGGGTAGTGAAAACATGAGACCATATGGTGAGGATCAGAAACTCTTATGAATCAAAGAAGACTGATAAATCTGAAGTTAAAACTTACATCAGTGCAAAGGAAGAGCTTAACAAAATTCTGTGTAAGAAGCCCCAGAGACTTCTCCTTTCTGTTGTCGCCTAGAATTAAAAAATTAAATTCAAAAAATTAGTGCAAAAATGTCTAAGATAAAATGTCATAAGAAGCAAGCATGCCACTGAAAGATTTCCGTATATAATACCAGATTTTTTTGGCACTGAGTGTTTAGAAAACGAATTGGGGTTTGATTTGTCATTCTGACTTAAATTGTTTGTATCTGAGTAGGTTTCATCTTCGTCGTCATCTGAAACCTGAGAGAAAAAGCAACATAAAAAATGAGGAATCTTGCAACAATGCTATGGTACAAGCAGAATTTTAGAATTGTTCCTTTTAATACAATTCATTATTTCAACTCTGCTGTTCTATAGAAGTGAGAAGCCCACACAGAAAACAGAACCAGATAGTAGAATATTAAAAATCAAATTCAATCTGCTGAAGCAAATTATCTCAAAATGAATCAATCATGACTGTAGACGTTGCCCAAACTCAAAGTCCGTACAATTCGCTAATAGAAAGCCATCCCAAGAGCTGCAAGGATAGACGCTATTTAATGATCTCCCAGCTGCCAAAGAAATCCTATATCCACACATGATAAAAGTGCCATACAAGAGGAGATCGTTTGTTTCAAAAACAGTAAGGGTCAATTATGAGTGTGAAAGCTGTGAATTTGTTGGGAAGCAAGGAGCTATTAGTTTTGTTGTTCGTCAAATTGAGTAGATTAACCTGTGGCAAACAAACACATGATAAAAGCTGTTTGTTTAATGAATCGGCATGCTTTTTGACTTACTTTTGCTCATTAGTTTTGTGAAGAAAGTATTTTCTTATGCTGGATGATAACGTTATATACTCGAGAAGATGAGGAATTACTTCTGCAGTGAAAAGCCCCTAAAACCAAATCCATTTTTTATCTGCTCTTGGATCTAAGAAAAGCAGATTTTTATTCTAAAAAGTCCATGAATCTGTAGGCAAATATACATTCTTGATTGGATGAGGATGTATGATTTTATCGAACTTGTTAGTGACTACTTCTAGTGAAGATATCAAGAAATGGCTACTTACTTTCTCAGAGCAATTCCCATCAGCTCCATGGCAATTCTCCTTTAAACCTTCATTCTATAACAGCATTAAACATGACAAAATATAAATCACCGTTCTTTACTGAATTACTACTGAGTAAAATTCAATAAATTCAATTTCATTATACGAGCATTAGAAGGAATTGAGGGTGAAAACGATATATTACTTTTAGATCCTGCAAAGCCTTAGGAATTGCTTGAAAACCCTTCCAAGTATATCGATTTTTCGCCTTTCTAGCAAGAATCTGAAATGGCCAAATTCAAAATTTATATTTATTCTGACAATCTATTATATAAGTTTCAGAAAACGAAAAATACTAATTATTCTTCATATTAAAGAAATTTAAAAAATTAGAAATTCTTACACCAACGCTTTCCAAAACATTCACAATATCATAGATCCGCCGCCTTTCCACCCCTAAAAAGATAATGAAAAATTAAAATTTTTAGATATAACCTTCAAATTCACGAAATACTAAAGAATTCTCAAATGACTACCTAATCGAGAGGCTGCATCATCAAGTCCAATTGTTTCCACACCGTCCCGATTGTACAAGCTCAAGAAACTGCATAATCAAACTGTAAACATTCATACATCTGCATACAGATGCACATACCCAAATACAAAAAAATGGATTCCCAAATGAAGTTACTTGGAGCACAGTAGACCAAGTGATTTCTGCTTCCGGCAATACGGCGTGTATTTCAATCCAGATTCACTCGACATATCCGCACTAGGTAAAGCCATTTCTTTCAAGTTTCAACTCTATACACCTACGCTCGCCTACCCACCCACCCAACAACCACAGACACACACACACACACACACACAGAGACGCGAAATTCTACTGTTTCTTCACGAGTATTTGTGGGTTTTGAAGGAAAAAAAATCCCAAGAACAGAAAAATCTCTACGCAATGCGTATATATATATATATATAGCAGTATATATATAAAAAATAGAGAGAGGGGACCGTTGAGAATGGTTGTTGACTTGGCGGGTTAGGGTTTTGGAAATTTGATTGGGAGGGATTTTGAAAGTTTGAATTTAGCCATGCAATGGCGGGATAAAAAATAAATAAAATTCTGTTTAATCTGGGAAGGCGCGCCTGTCGCGTATGAACTTACGTTTTTGACCTCGTTAGATGATAAGAAGGTGTTTGAGTGAAGGCTAGGGGTGGAAATTCGGATGAGGGTGCAAAATTGCAGGGAATCTTATGATGAATACGTAAATCATGTGACATGATTTGCCTTTTTAGCTAATTTAATTACTAATTATAATTACATTTACTTAGAGCTCGTTTGGTACACATTAAAATGAAAGAATGTATTTTTTTGAAGTGATGTGATGAAAAATATATGGTTAAAAAAGAAGAAAAAATTATTAATGTGATATAAAATATTATTTTATTGAAAAATGTGTGGTTAAAAATGAGTAGAAAAATGAGAAAGAAAAAAATTATGTGACCCAAACAGGGGCTTAGCATGTGCGAGATTATTTAAAAGTAATTTTTATTTTTTGAAAAAAATATGTAATTTAAAAGTATGGAAAAAGTACGGAAAATATGAAAAATAACATTTTGACAATGTATAGTTATAAATGAGTATTTTGAAAATTTGAAATTAAAGATTCGAATGCAGACTCAAATGTATTTCTTTTAGGAAAAAGTGTATAAAGAATGTGCTTGAAGCAATTTTGCTAGAGCTCGCAATTGTCATGCTTCAAGAAGAGTCTCTGTCTTAAATGTGAGGACAAACTTGACGATTGATCAATCTTATGCATGATATGTTAAAAGCATCTTTTGTGATTATGATTGGGCATTTGTTAAAGAAGAAGCGAGTCTGTTTGTTTTCCATTTTCAAGTCATTTTTTGAAGAAATGTAGTAGTTATGGGTCTCATCAGGGCCGGTCCTGTGATTTTCGGGGCCCGAGGCGAACTCCATAAATTAGGCCCCCCCAAAATTAACGTAAATGCAAAATCTAACGAGACATTATGCAGCCTATTGCTAACTTAAAACTTAACATTAAAACAACAAACAAATATATTATACAAAATATTTATATTATAATATAGCAAACTAACAATATTTCAAATAATTAGTTAAATACTATTCGCCTTGCTGTTTTAGAGAACAATTACAAAATATCTCAATTATCTCACAATTAAAATTTTCAATATAGTTACTACGTGCGCCTGTGCAATTTTGCAACGACTATATTTCTTCTAATAATAAGCAAAAATGGTGCACAAACACCCTGATGGCACACGCCGACTCCCATTAGGATAGAGAAATGCTATTTATCCTCATTGGGGACGTATCCCCAGTCTATGTGACATTAAATGATAGGTGAAATTAAATAAGTCATTTAATTTCACCTATCATTTAACCAATTATTTACATCCACATAGATTGGGGATGTATCCCCACTGGGGATGAATAACATTTTTCATTAGGATATGGCGATACCATGTTAAATCACTTTATTCACAACATTTTTTTATCCACAAATACTAACACTTATATGCCATTTATTTTTTGTCTACTTATAATTTACCAATTATAAACGTATCCGAAACATGTCACACGCCCTACCCCGCTCGCCGCCGCGCCCCCAAAAATCAAATTGATCGGTTACTGTGCGTAACTCGTCACTGTTCTGCAACAATTTTACGCGGAAAACGTTTCACATAGCAGCAATAAAGAGAGAAGAAAAGGGTAAAAGTGGATCCTACATAACAATGGCGTCTAAAGAAACCTGCAGAACCGAACTCCGTTCCGCCGTACGAATCCTCAGCGACCGCTGTCTCTACTCTGCGTCCAAATGGTAAACCCTAAACCCCTTTTGAAAGAACCCATTTTTTCTGCAATCAGAATACCCCCATTAAACATCCAAAGATTCCCTTTTCAATTTTCAAGTTTCAATTTTGAAGGGCAGCGGAGCAATTGATGGGCATAGAGCAAGACCCCACAAAGAACACCCCTTCGCACACTCGATTCCAGCGTGGAAGCTCCAGCATCCGCCGCCGGTTTCGAACCGCCGCCTCCGGCGACCCCTCCGCCACCCCTTCAGCTGGGGTGTCCTATGTGTCCACGCCGTTGATGGCGGGGGTAGAGGAGTATGATTATGGTGCCATTGATAACGATTTTTATTTGCTAGCAAAGTCTTACTTTGACTGTAGAGAATACCGCCGGGCGGCCCATGTGCTCCGGGACCAGATAAGCAAGAAAGCTGTATTCCTACGCTGTTACGCCCTTTATTTGGTTGGTTTTCTGCACAAATCTCGGCTACATTGCTTTTATAAAGATTCATTTTTAGATTTTAGACACTTATATAATTTATAACTTTGGTGGCTTTATATTGATAAATGCTTATTTTAATGTGGGATTTATTCATTTGCAAATGATTTGGTGAATTTATTAGTTCTCACTTGAATTGGGTGTTGGGACAGTAGGCTAGGTAGCCTACACCTCTCCAAATTTAGTAGAGATCTGCAAAATGTCATGCTTTAGAGGCAAGTCAAGATTTTAAGAGAGGCTTTTGGATTATCTAGGATGGATTTGAGGAACTGAAGATGCTATAAAGATGTTTAATAAATTATACAATTTTTTGTACTTAAGTTTGAAATGAAGAACTCTCTCACAAGTAATGTGTAAAAACAGTCAATGTCGATAACCTAGTTTGTTAGATAAGGTGCTTTAAGACAAAGTTTAGATATTCGTATGTCAATGGACTTGAGAAAAGATACATAACTCAAGTTTCTGTTGCCAGGATATTAATTAATACATCTTACTCAAACAAAAAGTTCGTAAATTTCGGAATTTCTTTCACTGGTTTTGCATTCATTCACTGATGTTCTTCTACTGAAACTCTCAAGGCCTTCAACAAATATTTATCTTCGCAGCCAAATTCACGTCAGATCTGGATTCTACTAAGTGTCGTGATCCAAATCCAATAAGGAATTGGAGAAACATATCTATTTGTTGATCTGTTGCTGAATCTGTGTCTTCAGAGGTTTTCTGAATCCATTTTCCTCTATCGAATTAAAATCTCAAACACAAATATTGACACATTTTCGATATAAATGTGATAAAAATGCTTCTATTAGAAAGAAGTAAGCCATGAAAAGAAGTAGTTCTTATTCTCTAATGGCATGTTATGATGCACCGATACGGACACTTGTCGGATACGTCGACATGCGATTTTTCAAAAAAATACTAGCACGACACGTTGATTAAATTCTTTCTATTTTTTATTTTTATTTTTTTGAGCCCCATTTTTTGCCCAAAATGTTTTTTTGAATAGTATTTTGATAAAGAATGTATGGTTAAAAAAAGGAAAAATTTTAAATTTGATTGTAATATTATTCTATTCAAGAATGTGTGGTTAAAAATATGAGAGAGAAAAATTTATTTTTTAAAATAATGAAGACCTAACAAGGGCATAGTATAAATTTATTTTTATACTTTTTATTAATTTTTCGTATTGAAATCTTTTAAATATGAGTATCTATATGTTATTTATTAATGATTTTGAGTTAAAAATATATAATATTTTTAATAAAAAAATGATCATGTAGAGTGACTGAGCAACGTCTCCAAGACGTGTGAAGTATCCGTGCAACAGAGATGGCATGTTTGGTAATGTAAATTATTGAACTAGACAGTATGAAGAACAGTTCTGTTTCTTGTACTACCCCAGTCATACATACCAAACATGCTTTAAATGGCTTTGGATTTTTACCAAACATCATGAAGCTAGCATCTTAGTGAGGGAGTTTTAAACTAGGATACCCTGGCCATGAAGTGGGAGTGAGAGTGAAAATACTGAAAGAGTCATCTTTGGAAATATTCTTTAGTGCATTGCATCGCCAAGAGTGGTGAAAATTAAATACGTAGATAAGTATATAATTATTTTTGAGAAAAATTATCAACTCTTCTGGTAGTTTGTGAAACAAACATTTCTTCTGATAAAACAATACAATCCATTCCTATATAGTAATTTATTTTTCTCAGTAAGTTCATAATATGTCATGGGAAGTCTTGTCTGAAGAGATTAAGAACAGTTTGAATGATAAAGATCTGGGCATAAAAGATCAAGTGCTAAGCATCTCAAGATTTCGAGGTTTACGAAAAACAAGCAGATGCTAGTTGATCAGAGCACGTATAACTCGTAACTTTGAAAAAATCACACTGCAAAGTATCTAATTCTAAGAAGAGAATATCTGCCTAATGGAGTTAAAGCCTGTTTGGGATTTCAGGCATGCAAGTAAAACCTTCTTATAAACACATTTACGCTTAAAAAAGTTTTGGGTCTGCTGCATAAAAGATTTCAGAAATTGCCTATAATCCCAAAATAAGACCTAGAGATTTGCCTCATAAGCACTTTATATAGATTTGTAAGCACTTTCTTTTCAAATTTACTGAACACACCAAAATTTCTTTTAAGCATTAATTGTGTGCTCTGCCTTTTTTTAAAAGTTCTTATAAGCACTTTTGGGTTGGACCAAGTAAAAGGGCATTCTTTGAAACCTGTATCCTTTCCATCTTCCCTCCAACACTGGCCATCCCACCCTCCTCCCAACCTCTAAATGCCATTACAACCTCTTTCCATCGATCACCAGTCAACCGTTTTCTTTCTTAATGATTACTTCCTCTTCTTGGTTTTTCTCCACCCATTACACTGCTAATGTCACTACAGAAGGGCATTCTTTAAAATCTATATTAACATGTTCCTCATCCGTGTGACGAGAAAGGTACCATGTTTACTCCTTATGCTCATTGACTTTTTTTTTTTTTCCCTGTACAAGAGAATAAGGGATAGAGAATGTGGCGGAATAATTTTTCTTTGAGTTTTGATTTGGACAAGTTTCTCATTTGAACTTCTTAGTCCTAACATATCAACTTAGGAGACTTGACATTTTCAGCCTTTTCTCAAGTTTGTCTCACACTGCTGTATGCACATTGGATTTTTATCTCATTTGCATTAGATGTGCGCTCTCTTTGTAATAACTTAATTGCAGCATAAATGAATAATCATTGAAATTATCGAAATACTAGTAATATATTATTTGGTAAGGCAAACTTATCTCTTCTCATTTCTTTTGGTTTACGAAGGCTGGGGAAAAGCGAAAAGAAGAAGAGATGATAGAACTGGAGGGGCCCTTAGGCAAGAGTGATGCTGTGAATAAAGAAAATGTTTCCCTTGAGAGGGAGTTGTCTACACTTCGCAAAAATGGAACAATAGACTCCTTTTGTCTTTACGTGTATGGCCTTGTCCTTAAGGAGAAAGGCAGTGAGAATCTTGCAAGGACAGTGCTTGTTGAGTCTGTAAACAGTTATCCTTGGAATTGGAGTGCTTGGTCCGAACTACAATCCTTGTGCACTACGATTGAGACATTAAATAGTCTTAATCTTAATAACCATTGGATGAAGGACTTTTTCCTTGCCAGTGCATACCAGGAACTCCGGATGCATAATGAATCCTTGTCCAAGTATGAACATCTACAAGTAACTTTCAGTTTTAGCAATTATATCCAGGCCCAAATTGCTAAAGCTCAGTATAATCTGAGGGAATTTGAAGTAGTCGAAGTTATATTTGAAGAGCTTTTAAGAAATGATCCATATAGAATTGAAGACATGGATATGTATTCCAACGTCCTCTATGCAAAGGAATGCTTCTCTGCTTTAAGTTATCTTGCCCACAGAGTGTTTTTAACAGATAAATATAGACCTGAGTCTTGTTGCATTATTGGAAACTACTACAGTTTGAAGGGGCAGCATGAAAAGTCAGTTGTGTATTTCCGGCGTGCACTCAAATTAAATAAAAATTATTTATCAGCTTGGACCCTCATGGGTCACGAGTATGTCGAGATGAAGAATACCTCAGCTGCAGTTGATGCCTATCGGCGGGCTGTGGATATAAATCCTTGTGACTATCGTGCCTGGTATGGGTTAGGACAAGCTTATGAGATGATGGTAATGCCCTTCTATGCACTTCACTATTTTAAGAAGTCAGTATTCTTGCAGCCAAATGATTCTCGACTGTGGATTGCTATGGCTCAGTGTTATGAAACCGAACAGCTTCATATGCTTGAGGAGGCAATCAAGTGTTACAAAAGGGCAGCTAATTGTAATGACAGGGAAGCAATTGCTCTGCACCAATTGGCAAAACTTCATTGTGAACTTGGTCATACTGAAGAGGCAGAATTTTATTACAAGAAGGATTTGGACAGAATGGAAGCTGAAGAGAGAGAAGGACCAAATATGGTCAAGGCTTTGATGTTTCTTGCCAAACATTGCAAATCTAAGAAAAGATTCGAGGAAGCAGAAGTGTATTGTACTCGTCTTCTTGACTATACTGGTCCAGTAAGTCATCACACATTCTTTCATGTACTGCACATGATATATATTCACACGTATTTGCATATAAGTTCGAAAGATTAGAAAAGTTTCTTACCTTTTCTTGTGTATAATACAGGAAAAGGAAACTGCAGAGAGTATTCTTCGAGGAATAAGAGGCGAAAAGTTGGACGTTGAGCATTTCCCGTCCTAAAATTTCAATGGCCGTGCAAGTTTGTTTGATAGTCAATCTTGAAAGTGCAGTGACTACATTGATGTTACTTACAAAGAGTAGTTAATTATGTCATTAGAATTTAGCTGGTGTTTTTATTGCATAGTTTTTTTAATTTGATTTTATAATCGGGCAACGTAGCTGTAACATTAACATCTCTTTTCTCGGAATCAAAAGTTTTCTTGATCAACCATTGAAAATTTTCAATTGGCGCAGTGATTTGGAAGTTTATTTCAAGCAATTCTTAGTAAAAACAAGCATGTGATGAGCGCCCGAAAGTGAACATAATTTCGTGCACCGGCCGAATTTGTTAGGCTGGGCTCGGGTTTCACCAAGCTAAGCCGAGTAGGCTCACAGTTTTTTTAATTTCTTTTTTTAAATTCGTGAAATTCTAAATTTTTTTTAAAGCAAAATTTATACTAATTGTGGATTAAATAAAAGTTACAATCCTTTTTGATTTTTGCAATTTATACTAATCGTGTGGCTTAGGCGAAGTTCTGAAATTTGGCTTGGCCAGAGCCACGAACCAAGCCTAGCCGACTCGAGCTTTAGAAATTTGGGCATTCTCAGCCGAGTTGAGCCGACGGGTTGATTTGCCATTCTTTTTTGAGAGTACGTTGTTCGCTTTAAAGGGACTCGTTGGTATTAGGGTCCCAGTGCTATTTTTAAAGACCAATTTGTTGGTATTAGGGTCCCAATGCTATTTTCAAAGACCCATTGGCGTACCCCAATTGATAGAGTTTCAACGTATCGAAAGATAAACATGTCGGATGACTAGAATCTAATAAATTATACACAGTATTTCCCTGCTTTGATGTAGTACAATTCTACAATGGCGCTACGTGCTCGTAGCTTGCACACCGAAAGTCAATCATTTTAAATCGTGTATTTTTCTTGCTTTCGTTTATCTTATTTTGCATTATTAATGGTTCTCGATAGGATTATCAGTTTAATCCACGACAACATAATACTTTGAAAGTATATCAATATAGAAGCAAGAGTCATTCTTAAAAACACACACACACACCCACCCCATATCACACATTATCCAGGATAGCTCCAAGACGTTACAAATAGAGCACGGTCACAATAATAGCTAGAGACCACTGCAATTGGATCTCTTCTTCTTCTTCTAAGACCATGCTTCGAATGTTTTCATACCTCCCCCACAACCCCCCCACCCCCCCAC